TCTAATCTCACAGGCTCAAGGTCGACTCAGCCTTCCATCCTTCCGAGGTGGGTGGAATGAGGACCCGGATTGTTGGGGGACGATATGCTAACTCTGTAAACCGCATAGAGAGGGCTGAAAGCCCTATGAAGCGGTATATAAGTCGAACTGCTATCGCTATTGCTAAACAAGATCTAAAGTTAATACTCTGCACGTAATAGCTAGCTGCATCAAAGGCAAGGAGAGCCTTCTTAGAAATTCTCAGATGTTGTCCAAACAGTCAACTAAATTTGACCTCTTCCATCCGAAGGGAATTCTCTAAAGAACGAGAGAAGGCAAAAGCCCGGGGAGACTTCCAAAAGCTACGAGAGAAACAACAGATGGAGGAAGACTTGACGGGCTATCTGGATTGGATCATGCAAGCAGAAGACATCGAGCCTGATGAAGACAAAGATGAGACAAGTGAAAAGCATACTTGTAAGAGCTTTCAGGACCATCCCTTCCTTGTTTGCTAGGGACTGTCCTTTGCTGTTCTAGATAGAGATGGTTTAGTTAGCAGCCTGGATGTTACCATCTGTAACAGCTCTGTATGAGGGGATTAGAGAGGAATCAATCCAAGCCACGGCAATGCAAGATTAGCGGAAAAACCAACTGAACTGCCAGCTTGAAAAGGAATTCTGATTGGGATGAGGAGGGCAGGGGGCTCCAGTGCGAATGCGTTGGATACGTAGCTGAGATCTTCATTTACATATTTATTTTGAGTGCTTTTGTGCTGCTTCAGTTGTATGAAAGTGCAGTAAATAGCATACAGCAAATTCACTGTGAGTGGAGCATGCCAGCTTAGTGGCAGGAATAGAGTTAGTGGATAATAGGGCAGAGCAGGCTGATAGCTTGGTGGTTTCCATTTCCTCATGTTGCATCTATTGTTTCTTTCTTCCCCCTCATGGCCATTTGGTTGCCTGTGGTTGTGCTCTTCCCATTGGCAGAGCCCAGAACTGGCCAATTAGTGACAGCTTTAATTTCCTGTAGCTATAATTTCTAGCCTGAGAAAATGGCATTCAATTCCAAGAATCCATCTCCTGGTGCTAATTAATTCACTGGAGCTGTATCAGCCGCTTTGGGTTCGTTGAGCAAGTCTTGAGAGCAGTGGAGAAAAATGAAGGTTACCTTCTCTGTTCAGCCCATCAGCTTGCATTTCCCCCCCGATTTAATTGAAACAAGTTTCAGGGATCTCGGTCCTTCCTTTTGTTCAGATTACTTCCAAAAATGAATGCAAGTATGTTGCATTGTGGTCCCACAATACAGAGGAATAGCTAACGTTCCTCACCCACTTTTTACAGGGCATTTAGAAAACAATTTTAATAATATGGAAATATTTTTCTTAATTTATTTATTTATTTATTTATTATTTATTTATTTATTTATTTATTTATTTATTTATTTATTTATTTATTTATTTATTTA